CACCTTCACATGTAATTTATCCACTCTTCAATGACTAGTGAAACAAAAGGATTAGCACCCCTATCCGACAGTTACAACGGTTAGACCCGAGTTACCTCAGCAAATGTCTTTGGCACTGGCTTTCCTTCTTCTTTGAGTTTTTCAATCTTCTTTTGGGCATCTTTAGCCCATGTGTACTTGGCCAGTATGTGCTCGACATCAGCAATTGTGCAGTTGCAATGCTTGGTGGCACTAATTTTGTCACTGGTTTTGAGCTTCTGCAGAACAAAGAGCAGCACACACAACACAATGAACCAACCGCCACGCCGCACTAGCAAAGCATGATGTATGTACCATAAAAAAAAGAAATCCGCTCTATGATCATTGTATACCTCGCCGGTTGGGTCGATGGTGGCGAGGTAGCGGAGAACGGCGGCGTGCTTCTCGCAGGCGGCTACGACGGTGGCCTCGCTGCATCTCCCTGACACGAAGTTCTTGAAAGTTCCCACCTTCCTCGCCATCTCCATCGAATCCGCGAACACTGCAAACCCGGAGGGCCCGAATCAGACCACCCACTGTACCAAGAGAGGAGGAACCGGACATCTCGGACGACTACTTACTGTTGAGATTGAAGGATTCGGACGGGGGGAAGGGTGAGTCGGCGGCCTTCTTGCCGGTGAAGGTGTCCTTGATCTTGTTGATCCACCCGAGGGAGGCGAGATGTGGGGTTGAGGAGATGCCCCGAGATGCCGTTAGGAGGTGGAGGACGCGGCGGGACGCCATGGGTGGCAGTAGCGGGGCACTCGTGTCTCCGGTGAGCCGCCGACGGCGAGGTGCGGTGGGATCCTCGGTCGGGTTTACGGCAGCTGGGCCGAGAAAGGTTGGAGAGGGGAAGAGTACGGGATGGGCCGTTAGAAGGAAGAAGGTGAGTGAGCGCATGCACATAAACCCTTTAGCAGCCCATGTAATTTAACCTCAGATGGGCTTACAACAACTTAACAGAATCTTTATAGAAAAAAAATCAAGATTCACAGTATGAAATCAATATTGTTAGATGCATCATGAAATTAATTTTCGTATCATATAGCTTTAGTATTATATATGTTGATATTTTTTCCTATAAAGTTGGTCAAACTTTATAAAGTTTAACTTTGACCAAATCTTATATGCAGACTAAAAAGAAACGGAGGAAGCATCAAGTATCTTGTATAGTAGTGTATGCTCGACATTTTCCGTAGTAAAAAAATGACGCAACATGTATGTATAATGTCAATAATCTACAACTTTTGCCCTTGTAGATGAACTTAACTAGTTTGCACTGTTGTTCAATTTTTCGATGTAGATCCTGCCAAAGTCTGTGCTAGATCGAAGTAGAATTTTTGAATGGATGTGACAAAAATTATGGAGGCTGTGGTTTGGACAATCTGAAATTGCGCACAAGCTTGGCAGGCTCCAAATTTTCTGGAATGAACTCAAAAATGGTTTCGAGGTTGTTGATATGGGAAATCTGCTAGCGCCACCACCCCGAGGGGCTGCTAGCATTGCTCTTAGCTCAACGACGATGAGAGGCGTGTGTCAGTGTGTGGCATACTTATGAAATTCCTTGGCCTTTCTACCGCAAAGAGAAAAGAAGATGTATTATTGTACCTTCAACCAACAGAACACATTTTATAACTTCTTATAAACCGCAAGAAAACACGCGACTTAGGAAAAATATGCACGAACGCTTGAAAACCCTAGAATGTTCATAACAATAGCCAAAAGCCCAGAAGCTCAACAACCTAGCGCCCCACACCTAGTGCCGCCGGTGGCCACTCCGGCCCCGGCGTCCACCTACTCGTCGGCCCCGACATCCACCTCCGTGTTGGCCACCTCCAAGCCGCCGTCTTCCACTACCTCACCATGTCACTTGCAGATCTGAATTTTGACAGAGGCCAAGACTTCGCGGCCGAAGTTTGGAGGAAATGGGGAGTTACCATCAACTATGAGGAGGGCAATGATATGGAGGAGTTTATTCTTCTTGCCGAGTTCATCAGATCTCGTATCAGGTTAACGGAGGAATCAGTAAGTACCATCCTTC